CATGGGACTTAGGATGCATACATAACCTTGCAATGGATCCCCAAAAACACTTTCAGGAGCCAGGTGACATGGGACTTAGGATTCATAGATAACTTTGCAATGGCTCCCCCAAAGCACTTTTCGGAGCCAGGTGACTTGGGACTTAGGATGCATGCATAACCTTGCAATGGATCCCCCGAAACACTTTCAGGAGCCAGGTGACATGGGACTTAGGACGCATACTTAACCTTTAGCAATGGATCCCGCCCACCAAAAACATCACATCTCTTACTTTTTGGAACCCAGTGACATGGGACTTAGGCGTCTGTTTTGTTTTAGGGATCATTGGCCACCTGAGCGGAAGCCTGGTGAGAACCTTGCAGAAAAAAAACCAAGCAAGCAACTCCATGATTTGGGAACGGGGGGGTTGATATATGTACTACACTCCTATGTCATGTGGAAGTGGTTGGACAGATGTTTATGAAGGCATTATGAAGGCATGCTTTCTTAACACATGTATGAGGGCATCGAATTTTGAAATTTTAAAACTTTTCATTTTGGCTACTTTGGATGGATAAGCCCTATCTCATTCGCTTGCCCTGTGTTTGCCAATATTCAGGTGGCACATGACTGAGGAGTTAACTTATCATAACTCCTATAACATTAGCAGCCCTAACTCCTCAGTCACTTGCCGGTAGTATATTTGCACTTTATGATACTGCTGGCACCACTTCATCTTTGCAGCGTCTCTGTTTTGAGCGTCTCTGTGGGTGACCACCTATCCCACCAAGACTCAAGACAGACTTAAAAGAGGTACTATGTATGCTGCTTAACCTGGCGACTCAAGGAGGGTCTAACAAATCGAGTGGTGATCCGGAGATCTCCCGTGAAAAACGGATTCTGGATTCGTTTTTCGGGATTTGGTCTTCGCGAGTCCAATTTCGGTTTTCGGTTTTCAGGATTCGCCCTTTGCGCTGGGTGGGGGAGGGGAGGCACCCTGTTTATTTTTTGTCGTGTGGCATTTGGATGACCCCGTGTGGCTTGACGAGAAGACGGAGTCAGGAAACCTTTTCGTCAGAGTCCTATAGAACAACGATTAACAACGATGCAAAGAAAGAAAGACAAGGAGGACAAGGCAAAAATGAAGAAGAAGGAAAAGTAGGAGAAGACAGAGGGTTTCTTTGGGCTTGGCTTGGGGCTTCACTTCTTTAGGGTTCCTTTGGGCTTGGTTTGGTGCTTTATTTGTTTAGGTTTCTTTGGGGGTTGGCTTAGGGCTGCACTTCTTTAGCATTTCTTTGGCTTTGGATGTTTGAGGCTTCACATTTTCGGGGTTCGCCAACGCAGTTGGCACCCTAGTCAATTCCCATCATACAAACAAACGTGAAACAATTTTTCTCCAACAATAAGGGGCTTTGCTCTAAGCCCAAAAACTGTTTCAAAGGGCAAAATACCATTACAAAGGGTAGATTCCAAAGGAACCATTGCTTTTGCAATAATAATATGTCTCTTTTGCAATAAGGGGGCTTCACCCTAAGGCTGAAACCAATTCTGAGGGCTTGTGCCGCTGTGTGCCAACACAGGTGGTAGGCTTTGCAAAATTGTAAAGTTGTTGGAAGTCTTGGCACAGACGTTTGGCTGAAAGGTGTTTTTCGTAAAGTGACGGAACTGGGCGACAAAGTTCTTTGGCGCTCGTCTATAAGACGCCTTTTTATAGGGAAACTGGTCTGAGGGAAGGCTTATCGAAGGAAAATTGTTCTACAGAAAGGCTTCGTAAAAGTAAAAGGATATTTGTCTAGGGGAAGACGTTTACATGAAAACATGGACGATGGAAAGGTTTCTCAAAGGAACATTGATCTATGAGAAGGCTTTTGCTTTTGTGAAGGAGTACTGGTCTAGGGGAAGGCCTCTCAAAGGAAACATATTTATAGGAAATTTATCTAAAGGCTAAAGGGAAATTGGTTTGCGAGAAGTTCTCTCGAAGGTAAATTTGTCTATGGGAAGGCCTCTTAAAGCAACATTTGTTTACGGGAAGGCTTCTTGAAGGAACATTGGTCTACGGGAAGGTTCTCTCAAGGAAAAATGTCCGGGGGAATGGTTTCTAGAAGGTAAGTTTGTCTGTAGAAAGGCTTCAAAAGTAAAATTTTCCACAAGGAAAATTTGATGGGAATTTGGGCTGATAGATTGGGCAAACAATTGGCCATATAAAAATGTTTTGAACTTTTCAAATGTAGTTGCATTTAACAGAAATAGAAGAACACACATATATATATATATATATTTTTTTTATCTGTGTTCAATCTCAAATGCAATCCAACCCCAAATTCAGCAAGTAAGAAAAAGTGTTCAACTTGATAAACTAGACAAAATAAGTTCACACAATTATGTTTATAAACAAAATCAGAACCAACCCGCAATCAAATTTTGAATCCTAGCTCCAAATCCACCGGTCCAAGGTTCAGATCATTGAAGACCCAAAGTCCAAACAACAACAAATCAATACCCGGCCAAACCCGCGGATTCGGGGCTATATCCAGTACAAATACAAAAAAACCCACAAACAGCAACCAAACTTCCTAAAAAACCTATCATGCTTGTAGCCAAAACACATTTTCACACAAAGCTTCGCGTTTCAAACAAGTGATAAATTCCTTGGTAGCGGCTAAGACTGCAAGCTTTGGGCTCAAACGTAATCTTAAAGTCCCATATCAGCCAACTTGTGTTGGCGCACAAGTGGCGCAAACACGGAAATTTGGTTTACGGATTCACTTTTGGGATTTATTCACTTCTTTAGGTTTCCTTCTGTTGGACTTGAGGGTCTTGGTGTTTGTTTGTCATTGAAGCAGAGTCGCTTTACTCAGACGTCGTTTTGGAGAGGCAGTGATAAGTCACTGGTTTGCTGAGTTTTTCTGCAGGAGCTCTTGGCTGACAGGTCAGGACAAGCAGAAAGGCCTGGCCATGTGTGCAGATGTTGCAAGCCTCAACTGTTGCTTTTTGCACCTTTATGCTGTATAGATGTATTTGTATGTAGGATGTAAGAGTACGCTTGTGGGCAGTACACTTTCCCAACAAGACCACTTGACATGCAGCTCCAAAATGACCCTAATTTTGTGTTCTAAAATGACCGTAAGCCGAGTCGACTTTGTGTGTTCCGAAATGACCGGTCTACCGCTCAAATGTGGGTGCTCTTGGCCCATGGTCCAGATGGCTCGTGACTGGCTAGAGAAATTGTGGTCTTTGTCTTCTCGAAAGCTGAAATGCAACTGTTTGTCCACTGAAGTGTTTTAAAGATTTGTGCGAGGAGTGATCAGAGTTTGATGGTTTGGCCTATGCCGGGATATGTGCTTGCAACTGTTGCGTGGAGACAATGGCCGTGGTATTTTGCACAGTACACGGACGAATACAAACGGCTAGAGTACTAGTACTAGGATCTACTAGGTTTGGAGAAGACACCATGCTCGACACAAATCTCGGTCCCGCGATCGAGTGTGGGAAATGAGATTTGCCCCAGTCTATGGCACACTATGACGATGGTTTCTTTTGCGGAATGGCTCGGAAAAAATGCACATCCAAGACATAAACTCTTTCAAACCACCTTATATATTTTGTATGAGACGATGGTTTCTTTTTGAGTGACTCCCTCACCTTGGCCGTCACTCCAAGGTTGTTTGCTGGAGTGCTGTTAGCATGGGATTCTATGCTTTGTCATACAGCTCAAGCTGCTCGGCCGTATCAAGTCCCCATGGGCCAATAGCGGCATGAGCTCCACGTGTGACTCACGACCGACCTACCTGTCAGACAGGGCTCAACGTGCTCAAATTGATGCTCCTGTTTGCCCGAGCGTGAACTGAGACTCACAACATCGATGTTCTTCAACATATTGTTTTTCTTTTTTTTTGCAAATTATTCCTAGCGAGTCCTTTGTTGACTTGACATGTTTGCACGAACAGGCTCCTTATCTCCTGATCTTTACTTGAACATGGGGCTTCTTGCATGCATGGACGCCGTGGTATATGCCTTCAGCAAGCCTGTGATTGAGCCCCGGCGGAAAAGATCGGCTGGGTACTTGACAGTCAACCAAGATTCTGAAATATATTTTCGGACCTGCCACTGCCTCATGTATGCATCGGAAAAAGGGACAAAGCCATACTCTTCCTGTGATTGCTAGCTATCCCATTTCTTTAGACCGAGCCATACTTTTCCAATTTGTTTCATTTCTTGCGAGGGGACTCCTTGAGGTGATTGTGACTTCTGCACTCGAGCCCTAGGCCGCCTAGGTCCTAGAGTTTGTCACTGAATTATATAATTGAGTCTTCAGGAATAAGTTACGAGGCAGCTGGGACAACTACCAATGTGCCGATCCTATGTAAAGGGCACCCTGAAGATCCTTGAAGCAAAGTCAGCCCGACAACTCACAGTTTGTTTGTCTAACATAGTTTGTGCTTGAGGGATAACCCAATAGATCAGCAGATCCAACTTGATTGATATTTTTCACCCCGTGACTGGGGCTTGGCTCGTGAGCCACGTGGGCGTTCCCTTTGCCTTCCTGCAAGCATTGAGGATGCATTGTCTCCGAAATGGGCGCAGTTTGCCGGCTTGTCCGGAACCTTGTCTTGCAACAGTTGATGCTGCATCACCTCATGCCAGCCGAGTTTCATTAGGGTTGAGGCAACGACTATGGCTAGATATATAGATGATGATAGATGACCTCACAAAGGGAGAGTTCTCTATTCTTATTGTTTGTAGATTTTGTAGTGTGCCACTGCACATTTGCTTCAGAGCGTCAGCACAGTTCCCAGGATGTGCTGCACTCATGCTTGTTAGCTTCTTAGCCAGCATTTTAGAGCTGCCTGGAGTCGACACATTGCTGTTGAATTCTTCTTGTGTGGAACAACTTCTCCTTTTCTGTGGCCTTGTATGAGATTGTTTCTTTATCCAGTTCTGTGATGCATCTGTCACAGCCCAGCGGGCAGCCGAGTTGGCATCCAACACAGTGTCGCAAGCAGATCTTCATAGTTTCCAAGAAGGCAGAGTAGTTTCCCAAGCGACCACGTTTGGTCCAAAGCAGCTCTCACAGTCTTTTCCTGACACATATACTATACCCATGCAGGCAAACCATGCAAATGTAAACAGGCTAAGGAGGTTTCATCGAGGTGACCTTGTATCAGTAGCATGGTCTTTGATGGAATTATGTTTGCATGAACGTGGGACTTGACTGAACTCTGCAAAGATTGCAAGTATCCCTTCGGTCAGAGGGGAGAGCCCTTGTGGTCGAGCTTAGTGAACATTGGGGTCGAGCTTAGTGAAACCCTCGAGCGACTCATTGTTGGTGAGGTTGCTTTGTTCGCGTGCGCATTTCCAAGGCTCCTTCTTGCCTGGGAAGTCATATGCCATGATGTTCATGTGCCTGCTTGCACGGATGTTTTTGGATGTGGCCTCCTGGAGAACATTATAGTTGAAAGGGATGGATTTAAAAGAGCTTGAGCTTTTGACAGAGACATCGTGGACTCAATGCAATTACAGTCGAGTCACTTGTTTCACTCCACCGGTCTGTGATATAGTGAGAGAGACGCTGCCAATCGGACCAAGGCTTTTTCTACGATCTTCCTGCTTATCATTGATGCTCGGACTTTACTTGGTCACTAAGATTGCCAAAATGCCAGCCTGTGCGGTCCGGATGCATGTTGTGATACTTTTGTTGGCCATAGCACATTTCCCATTATCACGGCCGATTGCAGGAAGTCTTCCCAGTGCCGGTGAGGGCCACCGCCATGGGCATTGCTAATTTGGTTGCGCGCTCCTTCACCGCAGTGGCACCCGTGCTTGCGCCATGGCTAAATCCCAAGCCGTTTTCTACGACGAGAAAGGCCCCTGAGGTTGCTCTTTCCTTGCCCAGAGGAACAGCTGCAAAACATATCATTGACGAATCATATTTTGCGATGGGTCAGAACCTGGAGCCCTGGTCCATGGTGTAGCTTGAAGCTTGACCTTCCAGGTAGGACCCACAGCCATTTATACATGTATACCAAGCCACCGCCTTTCCATTTGAGGCTATGGCTCCTGCGTGGATTGCTTGCTGGGTGGTAGTCATGGCTACTGCTGCAGCGGCCCTAGCGACATGGACGTTGCCCGAGCAGGTGGAGAAGACATAAGGCAGAAGTGGAAAGCAGCAAAGAAACAGTTTAGGACCAAACTTCTATTATCGTACTGCGCACACACACAGTGGTTTCGAAGTAAACCAAAGCTACCCTAAGAGTTGGCTTGAAGGGACTCTTTATAAAAGTGGTAGACCACAGGCTACTGTAGAATCGTGAACCTGGGACGTCAAAGGCAACATGGGTGGACCAGTGGAGCTAAACTACTCATGATCGACATAGATTCATAGCTTCTTGTTCCTAATAGAAATGCCCTTGTTACTAGTAGCTTCTTGCTACGAGTAGCGATGGCATCCAACCTGCTTGCGATGACCTCCACCTAATAGCGTCCTTGCTCCTAATCAAGTATCGTTTTGTTAGGGATCCTGGTCCTGGTGCGGAATGAATAAAGCAATGCTCACTTTTGCCGGCAGGTCTCAATCACGTAGGATTCCATCTGAGCCGAGCGATGTTGGTCCTTGGCGCGGTGGATTCAGGTGTCACCCCAGTCCTGAGAAACTGAATCTCAAGGTTGCCGATTTGGCACCCAGCGGTTGCAATGTAGTATTGAGCCCCGACGGACTAACACCTGGTTCATGGGGCCAGTGTCTAGCATAGTTTCCAAGAGATCTTGAAGGTCAGGATGCATTCTGTTTTTGGGAAGACTTGGACTTGGAAACTTGCAGAATGACTGAGCCTTTGGCGGCGTAAGCTTTGAGCGCTTGTGCCAAACATCCAGACTCTGATCGGGTGAAATTGTGGCACAACTCCTCATGAGCTCAAATGTAGACGTTCAATTAGTGCCAGGTTTCCTAGAATGATCTTGTTTTGCCTGACTTGACAAGTGTTTGTGCTTATTGCTGCAAAAGCGAGCAGACAGTTTTATCGAAACATCCAGCCAGCCATATGATTCATATGTAGCACATCGTCCTCCGAGCGACTTTGCCGGGTCATCAAAAGAAGCTTCATTTGCATGACACTTCACACATGGAAGTGCTAGGGATGAATAGGCACGAGAAACCGGGGCAGTTACAACTTGAGACTTGTGTTGATTAACTTGACATAACTTTTGACATTTGACCAAGATCGACCAACAAACCAATCTGGTCAAGTCACGTATCTTCCCCAAAGTATGAAGGTTTTGGCAGACTTAGCTTGTCGTCACAAGCTGGACTGACTCATGTGCATAGATGCATGCAGGAGCGTCAAGAGGAGATTCTAGGCGCCCGGGAAAGTTGTGATTCTGCAGGCTGTGCTACTCAGGCCACTAGGAAGTCTGGATGAAGTGCTCAAGAATGTTTACTACATTTGTAGACTACTGCACTTGGTTGAAGTTGGAGCTTGCTAGCTGCACTATCGCGAATGGTCACTTGAGGTCAACAAGATTGGGTCCAGGGGTCATGTTTTGTGTGGAAAGTCAATATTCCATCTCCTCCTTGCGTTTGTGGCAGGCATGGTGGACATGCTGCAGGTTTTGGCAGTGACAGGTGTCGACAGCCGGGTTTGCATGTATTTTTAAACACCGCCTCTGCGTACGAGGCTATCTGGCTATCTTTGGCCCCTTACCAGGTTTGGTGCGAAGTCTCTCTCTCTCACACACACACACCCTGTGAGATAGTCTTTGCACTTGCAAGGATTCGGCCAGCCCCTCTAGGCAAAGCACACCCAGAAAGCCCGAAAACTCAACCTAGAAGGCCAGACATCGAGGTTGTATGGAGGCTGTCAGTCTTTGTATGGATGCTTTGTCCGAAATCATCCAGGTCTATTTTGCCTGAATGTTGGGCTGAACAGCTTATCGCTTGTGCGCATTTCAATCACCTTGAATCAGACGGTGCCCCACTCAGAGTTGATTTTGCTGGACATGGCAGGTCCAAGAGCCATTTGGACATACCAGTTGAGCCCAATTCCAAATAGGAGTCAAAAGCGGCAGTTTCTTTGGCGGACTGACAGACTACCACAGTAATATTGTAGGTAGAATGTATCGAGAATGCTGAAGCTGAAGTAACAAGAAGCTACTAGGGGCCTGGCCGTAATACTAGGAGCAAGTAGCTACTAGGGGCTCCTAGCATCGCTATTAGGAGCAAGGACGCTACTAGGGGGCCCGTGGCCGTACTACTAGGAGCAAGTAGCTACTAGGGGCTCCTGGCATCG